ACATTTTTTGGGGGTTAAAGAAAGCAAGAGTTCATTTATTATTTCCAGAAAATTTTTATTTTAGACTGTCAAATTAGCATTTCCGAATATCCGTCGTCTATTTGTCGCATATTGGAGATCGGTGATCTTGAAAACTACTAGACTGATTGTTAGGAAATTTTAGTGTCATTTTAGCATGACAAAATACACCAAGATTTGCCTAATCATCCCCACCAAAAATTCGATGACGACAGCTCAAAATTTTGCTAAGTAATATGCTTCTACGCTGTGATTTATTAATTCACCCACATTTTTACCTTTGTGTGTGCTGAACTTTCAAATAAAATTAAAATTATACAACACACATTATTTGCAATTGAACTTAGGAATTTCAAAACCGATGACTCTGAAATTTTGGGTATACTTTAGGACTATCACAAAACTGGTAAATCGGCCATTCACATCAACATTTTGCGTAGTAAATATTGTTTAAATTTTATAAAGTAACTTACACCTGAACTGGTCGTTTATGAATCCGCCTTGATTTGTTATTTGATTACGAAATTGTTCACCGAATATTTGCCACATGTTTCATAGAACCGATATCCGTCTTGCGGGAAATCAGTACGTTGTGGGCTAGTGGCTGAACTTTAGCTCTGCCGAGTGGGTTGGAATCCCATCCTAGTCAACTTTTTTATTGAATTTGTTGAATGTTTGACTTCAGGTGTTCGGGACGTTCTGTCTAAACAACTTTAAATCATTTTTTTTATATAAGATGTTCCAAAAAATTAGTAGAATTGTTTCATAGATTAATTCTAAAGCGGTTTCCTTAATTTTTCCAATATTCTGGGTACACAGTATTGTTGCTATTAGTGTTACATTGTACGTACCAAATCTGATATTATATTTATCGCTATTAAAAAACTGATGATGTATTTTTATAGAAAGACTTAAATTTTATACCGGGTGATTTTTTAAATTTCTGTTTTAGTTACCTATAATGTTTATATCAACAGTGAAACTGAAACTGATGACATAAGCAAGTGTCATGGGTAACTAGAGCAGAAATTTAAAACATCACTCTATATTTGCCTAAGAAATTGGATTTCTTTAAAACGAAGTGTCCTTTGGGAGAGAGGAAAAATGCGTCTAAATAACTTTATATAATTTTTTTTCTTTTGAAATAATTAGGCTTATTGTAATAACTTCATAGGATGTGTTTCAGATTTATTCTTAAAATTAATTCTATAGAAAACTTACCTGTCCAAGTATTTGTTTTCACTATACTTCCGATTTTTATTTTATTCACATATATTTTTAACCGGTAGCGTTTTATTATGTACTTATTTAAAATTTAAACCCGAATTTTGAATTTTTAAACAAACAGTAGAATTTTAACATACATACCTATACTTATTTACACATATGAAATTTCCAATATCAAAAATCTACTTTGTTCAGTTGTTGAAAATATAAAAAACGAATTTCAAGCGAGTATTTTTTTTAAGATTACATGAATGTCATGACGTAGGTACTGTGACATTTTTCTCTGTATATGTTTTAGATTTGGGCTCTGTATAATCCCAGAAATAAATGAATGAAACTTTTTCCAGTGCAAAACAATTGAGTTTTAAAGGTTGTATCATAAATTTATGTAAAATTATGACCGTTTCTTAGTCATATGACTACAACAAATTCAAAAACATTGTCGAAAACAAAAGAAAGTCGTTTCTCTGAGAATAAACGAATGACAATTATAAGACATAAAACCCTGAAAATGAAAAACTACAACAAAATTATACTAAAGTAAAACTCGCTATTTTCACTTGAAGATTTATTCGACTCAGATGATTTCTTGTAGCACTGGAACACCAAATTTGCGAACAGTGCTGTAGGGGTTTTTAAATAATATATTATTAACCAAATGTTTTTGCGTAAAACCTCAATTATACGGACTTTAAAGGTTGACTTGAAAGGCGTGGTTTACGATAAAGCATAAATAAAACATAAATATGTAAAAAGGACATGTCCAAAAGCGTTAATGCTTACCTACGACAAATTACCGAAAAAACATTGTATGTTTAACCGGTTACGAATTAGCAGAAAGATTTCGATTTTTCTTTTTTAAACGTCACCGCATTGAAATTTCTAATTAAGATCCTTTAATGGCACTCCTCTAAAAACCCAAATAAAAATGAGGGAATTTGGCGGCTTCCTAATTGATCTCTCGGACTAGACCAGCCACAGACAAAAGCAATTAAAACATGACTCTGCTGTTTCCGTCGATGTTAAAAAACGATATTTTAATAACGTTTTTCTGCTATGCTAATATCACTTTTAAATTATCCAGTGATACTATTGAATCCAGTGAGTTAAAAATCGTCGAGGCATTGTTTGTAAGCGACGGCAGAACAAAGCTCTTGTATATATTTACACATTCTTAATGTGGTAGCGATTACACAATTCACAATAACAACACGAACAAATGTTTGTGCAAAATCGATAAAATGTTTCAAAATGTGAAAAGTAGTTCAGTGGTTGATTGCCTAGGCGCTACCGTTGCCTATGCAAATAATCAAACTGTATCGATCGTGAAACTGTTTGTTTTGGCAGCAGTGGTAAATGGTTAGACATACTTAAATGTTTAATCATTCATTTAAAATTGCTGCTTGTTTGTGACATATAGGTATTAAAGTATATTAATGATCCTGATGATGTTCGTAGCTACTGGGAGATTTTTTTGTGTGAGGTTCGATTCCAGTTCTAGTCTGCATTAATAATAAGTCGAAACGTTAAAGGTTAGATTTATTTATTGGACATGACATGATTTAGTTTTGTTTTTTGAAACAATAATATATCTCTTCGAAAGCATAAATATACGGAGATTCGGTAACTTCGTTGTTTATATTCACTCCTTAGTCACTCTAAAGATTTACAACTATATTTTAGTGAACTATGGGATGCCTAGAGTCCGTTGTTTTAATTGCATGCTCAAAATTATTCTGTTGTATACTTGACCAAGAATTTAAATTTGTTTTTCATGGTTTATTACGGTTTGCTATGTAAAGTTTTTTTTAATTTGGTAATAGCCTGAACCACAACTAAAATACAGGTTCTCGACGTTCGAGAATTTTTCTTTGTAGAATTTTTTGGTGTATATGATAATGAACAACACTTATCTGCTAATTGCTCGTAATTTTTTTTCATTCTTCAAATTCCGGGTTGTTCAAGTTGTAGAAAAAAATTTGCGTATACGTATCATTTAAAAGACAATAATGTATACCCCCAGGCAGAAAAAAAAATGGCAAAAAATGATATAAGCTGCAAATGTAAGGTAATTTTGAAGAAAATTTTATGTTTACAGTTGGCTCTACATTTTGCACCTATTTTTGTATGTCAATTACCTACATCAAAAATAGCTATCTAACGTCAAAACCTACTCAAGCTATAACAACACATTTTTTGATCGCACAGTATAAGAGTACAGAACGTACAGCATAGAACACGTTCTTTGACGACGTTAAAAAATTTCTTCACAATAACTGCAGCAGATGTTAGAAGACAAGTGATTAAAAATTTTTGTATGGATTATTATGCTAAGAATAGAAGATCCAGTGGTTCTAAAACTTGAAATAAATGGGAGATAAGTCTTAAGTTTTCAACTATGTATAATTAAATGATCAACTCTGGATTTTAGATTTAAAAGTAATTTCTTTTCAACAATATTGTAATACCAGAACGCATTTATCATTCTTAATTTCAACCAAATACACTGATAGAACTTGTATACCGCACTGTCAAAAATTTCAACTGAAGTTTTAAAGCCTAACCAAAACCTTTTTTTTTTTCGTCTGGTTTTGTGTTAAAGCTTGATACCTTTCTCATTGTTTACCACTTTCAAAAATTCCGCGAAAATGGTTAAAGCAAATATCAGCAGACAGTTAATTTAAATTAAATGAGAACAGAATGACTAGTGGTTTCAAAAATTTTTTGTGGCTTGATAAGCTAAAAAGATAAAACGCTTCCCATTACTATTTTTTAATGAATTCGTCTCTCCTATACATATATAGCTGTTACGTACAATTCTGAGAAAGTATAACTTGTTCCGGAGCATTTATTTTGCTTTCAAATATTAGTTACATTTGAAAAATTTACATTATGTTGTAGACGCAGGTGGAGGCAGGTTTGAATGTGAACAGTGGTTCAAATCGCTTTTTTGTATTTTTGAAAACAACTACGATATTTTGACAAATGTTTTGTATATAAAACTTCTGGAACACAATAATAAAAATATACAGTATTGACATAAAAATTACTGTACTCTTTAAAATATTAATTTTCCACTTGTTATACGTAAATACATATAATTTACAACACGTATTTTTTAAAATTACAATGTGTACATATTTTGAAATTATGGAATATAATTATTGCGAGATTAAATTAATATTAATAAAGTGTGATAATAATATACATGCTCAATAATACAAGACATACAAAGTAGATATTCTTACAGTTGGAGCTTTAAAACATTTTTTTGTTATTGTGTTTCTATACAGAATTAGGTGTGTTACTTAAATCGTTTGTTATTCAAACACACCAATTAAATAACAATAGATCCAATTAGATATAGTCTAGTAGCGAAGACTAATTGATTAATTGGACACAAAAAAAATCCCAAAAGATAAACTCATATCGTTAGTAAACATTTTTAATATTTTAAACCAAAATCTAACTGAAGTCTCATATATGGAAAAAACCATGAGGAAACTACTGTTCTCATTTATTTTAATCACCATCCCGTGTGAATATTTAATTTAATTTTTTGCTTATTATAGACAGTAACACAATAATTTACTTTTCGATTATCATCGTTCTTATTAAAAATTAATTCCACAATGAATAAAAAAACAAACAAACAATAACACAATTCTATTTGGTTTTTTGACGTTCCAATACAGCGTGTTTTTGCAACAACTCTTTTTCTTGGTGTAATTTGACTTCACAAAAATTCTACTCACCAGCACTAGTCTCCCCTGAGCTCGAATCAAACGTCTTCGACGTCATCTGGAAGAGCGCATCCAGTGGCGTCGCCCCCGGCTGCTTCCCCTGTTGTCTGTGCCTCTGCGCCGCCGCTGGCACAATATCCGGCGAACAACAATCGCTCGCGACACTCGAGGACCTATCACTTCCTGTTTCCGACGTGTAGCTCGCATTAAAAGTCGCGAATTCCGGCCTCAACAACGCCAACTGCTGCACTTTGAGATGCCTGTGAAACGTTTCGAGCCTTTGCTGTGCCTCAACATCAGGGTCTATGTCCCACGGCCTTACGATCCGCGCGTTCTGCGCCTTGGAGGGCTTGTGGTTGAGGATATCCACGATGGAGAAGCTCTTGACTCCGTCCGTCCGCTCCTCGATTTCTACCGTCGGAGAGATTCTGCGCTCCGTTTCGAGCATTTTGAGCTTCTTCAAGGGCTTGAAGTACTCCTCCGGGTCCGGGTCCGCGTCCGGGCACCTGCAGCCGACGTATCCGGGACTGGACTCCCTCGAGCGCACGGGGCTGGGGCAGCCCACGCTGATTTCGTCGTCCGAGACGAACTTGGGGCCCTCTAGGGCCGGACTGGGCGTCCGCGACGAAATGGGGCTCTCGTACTTGGAACCTAGGTACGGGGACATCTGGTTGGTGGTACTTTTGGGCGATAGGGACTCGCTATCTTGCATTTTACACCACTGGTCCATCGAGTCGCACACACATGTTCACTTTCGATTTTTCGCCGCCATTTTATCTACGGAACCACTTTTTTCTCGAATGAACCCTCTCGTTAGCGGATCGGACCCGACACGTGTTAAACCTTCCTATCTTTAACAGATCTGGTAACAAGTGAACGTCTAGTTGCCAATCTAGTCAACACTGGCTCTTTAGCCGGCCACGCCTACCGTTTAAAATGCGCCCCAATGGCGAGCGGGCAGGAAGAGCGAGGCTCTTTGTAAAAATGCCGACGGACGAGCTGATTGGACGGGGGCGTGGCGTGGGGGATTTCGGCTCTTGTCACGGCCTACCAATCAAGTGTCTAATTTGTATAAAACCGTTTATATCATTTGTTTCTCTGGAGATAAATGGGATTTTGTTTTAGGGGAAGATTTAGCATGTGCTTAATGTAAATTATTTTGGTTTATGGGTGAAGGAGACATGGCTGCTTTCATAAATTCGGATAACTTTATGGAAATTTGGGATCAGAGGCGGCGAGATGGGATCGGAGTGGAGCAGATGGTGATGGGACTAATTAATTGGGTGCATGGGATGAGCGCGGTAGGGAAAAATGTGGCAAATTGCCAAGGCTTTCGTAATTTAAAAAATGACAGATATATTAATACTGCCATCAGTCAGGGATTTTTTTTCTGTTTCTTTGTCTCAGGTTTGGAACGGGAGAGTTAAGTGATGGCTATAAATCAGATGGTGGAAAAGATTGTGCATTCAAAGACATCCTTTCGGGGCTATAAATCACCGGAGTTGTTGCAACATTTCCTGATATTCTGTGGTAATTAGGTTTTTTGGTATCTAGTCCTCGTGAAGATTTTTTTATTGAAGGAGAAAGGTAAATTTGAAGAAACCGATTTTTATCGAACAGAGTTGCTAAAATTTCGGCCAACTGCAAACCTGAAATTTTTTGAACATTATTCAACTAATTTTAATTTGATTTTTTATTATTTATTTGACGTGGTATTTAAGTAGGTAAGGAATTACGTTAAGTAGTTGTCATGTAACAGCTTTTTTGGTAACAGTCTTATCCCATTGCCACTATATTTACGGATTGTTTATTTTCATCATCTTTTTCGAACCTAAGATAAGTATTTTATTTTATATTTCACATTTATAAGTGTAACAAAAACCATATTAAACATGGTAATAAGTAATAAGTGATATATCTATCTGAATTTAAATGTAATGAGAACTAGGCCACAGTGAAACATGTTTTACAAATTAAATTCCACATTTGTAAAATTCATTAGTTATTTTACAAATATTACGCTTATAAAATATTGCTTTTAACAATATCTATTAATGTCAACTACTATTTAATTTGTAGATAACATAATAAGAGTGGCTTTATTTAATTGTGACGTGTCGGCACTTTCCAAATAATAATCAAAGTAAATATTGTAATAAAGTTATTTTGTCGAACTTTTATTGCAAGATTTTTTGTATCCGCAAAGATTGTAGTAGAATACGAAAACGCAGCTTATTTTCCGGTTCTTTAATATTATCGTAAAAGTGGTAAAACTCTGACCAAATTGGTGTGCTCCCCTTAAACTAATAGACAAATTTTGAAAATGCATTTTATATTCATCCCTTTTAAAAAATGTATGACATCATCTTAAAATCATCTGGTGCACACATCTTAAGCTTTTTTTGAAAAATAATAGATAAGGTTGTAAATGTTTTTTTTTTGCTAAGAAAAGACTGATTTTGGCAGATGCTATATTTTCTAGAAAAGTAGTGGGTGATTGGGCGGGGCTACTGCTTGCTTATAAGACTGTAGAAAAAGCGAATTTCAGCTCCGCCCACCTCCTTTCATTGACTTATTTTATTTACTGTATGTAAGATTTAAAACAAAGTCAAAATTGGCCCCACCCACCCACCCCTATTCTGTTTGATGACTCATTCTAAATTCTAAATATCCACTACTAGTTGTCTAGAACTGTATTGCTGTCACATAAAGTTTGGAAATATGGATTATGGATACGTCGGATTCATAGAACCTTTGTGTCTTTCAGAGAAACAATGGTCTCTAAAATAGACACAAATTCATACTTTCGATACATTTGTTCAAAAAATCTGTAATCAAATTTGTCTTAAAAAATAGGCCTCATTCCTGTGGAGTTAGACGCGTTCTAAACGTTTCCACCGTTAGCAATTGATAACAGGTGCTGCAAGTGGCTGATAGATTTTTTTGTTGAGAAGATTTTACTTTAAACTAAAGATCTTGCTTTTACACCTTTTATAATTAACGTTATTCACCTATTTTCCACAAAAAATAACTTTAATTATAGTTAAAATAATAATTTTCATGATGATCAATTTTATGGTTTTACATACACCATAAATTATTCAAATTATAGAGTAAATATTCTTCCTAAGTATAAAATGTTCCATTAATTAAGACTTGTATAACCTGTACTTCGGAAGCACGAAGGCGAAGGAAGTCAAATGTTATTAAAATCAGAATAACGTCTTAAACTGGAAGGTCGGCGTACGATGTCTTGATTATGGCTTAAGGCATCTATTTAATGAAAAATTTATAACTTTATTCATTAGAACAAGTCCTTAAAGTGAAAGTACTGGTGAGTAATGAAGATCCTCTAGAATATATTTATCAGTCTGAGGACTAATATATATTTTTCAATTCTTTCACAAAAATAAATATTTTTTTTATGTAGGTATCCCAGCACGTCCCAATAAAACAGCCATCATTTCTCACAGCACCCCTCATCATCTTTTTGTCCCTCCACCATAGAAAGCGTTGATAGCACATATGATAAATTATGTCCCATCTACCCTAGATTCATTTCGCATAAATATATAATTACCACCACCATGATCGCATATTTAACAGTAATGAATGGGACATTTTAATACCACACACGCTCTCTTGTGTCTAAAAAACCAAATAATGCTAATGGCGGTTATTTATCTCGGAGGTCGTCATTATAATATTTAAACAATGAGCCCCACAATCAAACAATCCGAAAAATGCAGGGGGCGACTGTCACTGTTCTACCATGTGGGTATTTTGAGGCAGTTAAAATTGAATTATCATGGAAATAATTGGGCAATGGTGAAAAGCGCTTATCGTAACCATAAATATGTAAATTCTGGTTTACCTATGGTACTCTGGGAATATAATTATTGTTGTTATTACTATTATTAGGAAAGTTAGGATTTAATGGCGGCGCGATTTAGAACGAGCGATAAAATTGTAATAAACGTGCTGAATTATATTTTATTTACTTTTAATGGGCGATTGTTTAAAACGATAGAAATTGTTGCTTTGTGGCGACAATAATTACGTAATTTTCGGGAGAGTGATAGCGGCACAGGGACGCATTAGGAGTAATCGGGTTTAGTTTAGTGCGGCCTGTAATTTAAGCCTTTGTAGAAGAGGTCGACGAATTTGACACAATTGAAACGTAATTCGTAAATGAGAAGGTGGATTTTGCGGAATAATCGCTACGACGAAGGTCGACGGTTCATTTTTTCTTTTATTTTATACCTAATGGAGTATCAGATATTGTTTGAATCTTGATTATCACCTTCGTTGAAAATTAGTACTTGAACGTCATCCAAATTTGCCTTTCTTATAAAAAAAACAAATGTGGGATTTTTTGTAGGTCGCAGAAATTTGAAAAATCAGAAGTGTGAAAACGAAATCATCAAAAAAAAATGAAAAGGGTTTACTAGGAAAAAATTAAAAAGACCAAAAAAAAAAATACATAGGTACAAAGGGTATAAAAATGTTAACAAATTTGTAGCATATTATATTCGGTAAAAAATTCTTGTGTATTTTTGATACATTTAAATTTGGAAACGGCAAAATTAACATTTGAAAATGTTTAATAGTACGTGTTTTAAAATCGCCTTATTTAACTTTTTATATAATTATAATGTGTACTTGTGATTTATGAATCTACCTTGATTGTGTTTATTATTATATTTTTTAATGTTTAATACGACACTATAGACACTATAATACCTACTAATAACTGTATTACATTTCTAAAATTTCAAAAAAATACGAAGTCGTTTTTGATTTAATGAATCAAATAAACTGCTCATTCATTTTTTTTTTGAGACATTCTGTATAAGCATTTCTAAAAAATATAAATGCATTGATAAAATACAAGTCTATAGCCTCATATTATTTTTCACATTTTAGATAGAATTGATGTAGCAAAATTTTGAGATGACGTCATCAGATTTTTGGAGGAGATAAACAGATTAGCGAGTTTTATGTAAGTATTTACGATAACCTTAAAACGTTGGCAAGATTTCAAAGGAGATATTTTGTAATTTCTAGTTGAATTGTAAAATGTTTTTGGGTTTTTTCCAAAAATCAGGATCTACCTATTAGATAAATTTAAAGATTAGATTTAAATAGGATTTAGCTAGCAAAATTTTGAGATAGAGCGTTTAAATTGTTCAAAAATTTCACAACAATCAGTCCAGTAGTTTCGTAGTTTTTGTGTAACAAACAGATGATATAGGACAAACGACTGACAAATAAACGATAAACAGCAGACAATAGAAATGGGAGACCTATTTTTCACGCTCCAGAAGTTATGATATGTCGAGAAAACATCACCTATCAAAAGCTAACATAGAAGCTTGGGAAATAAAAAGTCAATACAAATTTTTCTGTAGTTTATTCACATTATTTATTTTCCATTAATGTTGATTATAATCTTATTCTATCTCTTAAAATTAACAGTTAATTATTAATTAATACTTAAGTATTAATTTTTCTAGGTACAGGTGGTCTCATAGGTATGTGGTCTATCTATTAGCAAATCTTCTTTCACTATTTCTTAGATTCTACAAGTACCGCCGACATTACGTAGGTAACCTATAAAACAGCATACGAAAAACATTTTTTGAAAACTTAAGATGACCTCTAGTTGGAACGAATTATACAGATAAAAAAACTTAAATAAAATTTACATGTTTGAAAGTAATTTTTTCGAATAAAATACCAGGCGATGTTTCAAATTTCTGATATAATTTTCTCTGCCCGTTACGTCACCAAATTACGTAGGTCGGTTCTTAGAGCATACAACTTACGTTGTGATGAGTTGCCTACAATCT